GAGGAAGAAAAAGTACTCAACTCTGTAGATCACAAACAGAAAGCTCTCAGAAAGAAGTAGCTATTGTTCTTTTCTTCAATCAACACATATTGAATAGGCTAACAGCATCTTTTAAAGACATCTACAGCACCTGAAAGCTCAAGCCCAGTACCAATTAAGTCATGGATTTGTGTCCCACAGATCAGTTAGTGTCACACAATTCCCCATAAATTACACTGCTCATCTTTGCCAAGTTTTTTTTTTTTAACGTGCTCTATTGAACACAAGGGGAACCTGATTAGCAAGCTGAGAGATCGATAATAATCCATTTCCACTCAATAAACATCTCCATTCATCAGCTTAATGAATAGTTTTGTCAGTGGTTTTCTCCATCTTCGGACCTTAAGGACTGGAAAAGTTAGGCATCAGTCATTGCTTTATGGAAGTGAGGGGGTAAAAGTAAAAGCCAACTCAGACAAATTTTTGTTTTATCATATAAATGTGTACTCTCTTCTTCAAAAGCCTCTGCCCCTATATGGATAAATCTCAATTTCAGTCATTGAGTGCACAGTAGAAACAAAACAATGTTGTAATAGATGTGTGTCTCATTCTCCGTGAGCATATCAAGCAGATGCTAGAAAACAAGGATCTTCTGTTTTAGAAAGTATGTCAGAAATTTCCAACCACAGCCATCCTCGACTCCAATATCAGTTATCTCTCTGACACCACTAATGACCTCAGGGCCCAAACCACCTTCTTGTTTTCGAATCTCCTTGCCACCTAGCCCCTTCATTTCCTAAGGATCACCTGTGTCTTCACAGACCGCCAGCGTATTCTCTCAGCTTCCTACTTCCTCAGTTTCACCCTGCCTTCTGGGTCCCGACTGCTTATCTAAGTTCGATCAGCCTAATTCTTCCTATACACATGGCTTCATTTTCACCACCCTTAAATGTAACCCAACTATGCCCTGGATCAGGCATCTACCCAGGCTTCTGATCGTGCTCTAAGACCAGGCAATCTTCCTCCTTCTGCCTGTATCTGAGATCCATGCGAAGTTCTACAGAGCTAAACAGAGCACATGGACCATCCACCCTAACCCAGACTTCTGGGCCTCGCTAGCACTCAGGGCTCCCTTAAATTCCACCCTACCTTTCTAATCTCATCCTTTTCTAGTCAAGCTCACAGAACCCTCCTTTCTGGCAGGCTTATCCTGTCTCTGCCGCCTAAACTTGCCTGGTTCATTCCTGTCTCTGTGCCTTTGCTCTCAAACCATACTTCCTCCCCAACGACCAACACTCTCCCCTCGCCTGCTACCATGCACCCGTTCTGATCATAAGCTTCCTCCCTCCACATCGACTGAGGTTCTCCCTCCCCAGAGAAGCCTTCCCTGATCACCAGGCTTCCAGGGATCTTTCACTCCTCTGAATTTCTATGTTTCCCGATCACTCACCTGACAATCTGTGATAGGTTTTTGTTTACCTTTTAATCTTATCTTTTCATAGGAGAGCCATTTCCTCATGAGCATGAACCATAAAGCACACTTTAAAAAGCTGAACACTACAATAGCAGTCAACACTAAGAGAGAATTTTCAGGACTTAAGAGTCTCCCAACAGGAACAAGCAATCCCATTTTTTCATGTTTCTTTCTAGCCCTTGCCCATTCCTGTTGACATTTTACACAGTAAGAATCATAATAGCAGATTCAACCACACAGTTGCACATACTGTTTTCCATTCTGCTTTTTCCGCTAACAGAGAAAACTGTCTTCCTTGATAAAAGATGCTGATTTTCATCATTTTTAATATCTACATAACAATCTTCCCACTGAGATTCTAGACCATGATTTACTTAAGCACTGACTTCTATCAAACGGTACTTTCTTCTTTCTGTCTTTGTGCCTTTCACTGCATCAAGGACTATAAAATGCAAAGTAATCCCTTGAGAAATACCTGTTGAAATATATTTATTATCCATGTTCCCTGACAACTGAAATAAACCATTTCACTATTTTTCTCTCCAGCTAAATACCTAAGGTAATTCTTGGTTTCACTACCTTAGGCTAGGTAGATAGGAAAGGTATTTTCCAAACACTTTTGATGTAAATGTATTTATTTTGGTAGTTGATCTTACATATATTTAACCATGGGAAGTCCCTTGCAGAAAGGCAACAAGATCCTGTAATATCTAACATAAGTTAGACATCTGGTAGGCACTCAGTAAATAGTAAATATTTTTAAAACTATCTGAAGTTATAAAACATCAAATTCCTAAACAGGAGAGTGTCACTGATCTAGTTAATACCATCGATAATGCTTGTAAACCTTTCAGCTCATTTAATAATTAAACTGGTTAATAATGTATGAGTGGGTATTCCTTACAGTACATAGAAAAACACAACCGGAGTTATCTGGTGAGTTGTCCAAGTCTGAAAAATAACATGAAAAACCAAACAATATCTGCAACAAGAACTTCAAGATCTCCTGACAAATCAAGTTTACAGCTTTCCTTCAGCTTGTTTAAGGACATATTACAGATGAAGAACAGCAAAAACAGAAGTTGTAATATTAAAAGTAGGTAAAATTACATATGCATGTGAACACAAACTAGAATGAAAGTAAGAAAATGAGACTGAATTGTTAAAATGGAAAGATGTTGAAGATTTTTTCCCTTTTATGTTTTATTTTGCTAGTGCAGTGTTAAAATATGTAACAAGAAAAATATTACTGACAAAAGCGTATTCATTAGCCATTATAATTCTTGCTATTATCCAACTAGGGCATAATGCTAAATGTTGAAGTAACAATGTTTCCCAAACCCACACATAATTTAGCAAAAAAGACTGAAACTCTTACTTCCATGATAAATGTTAAATAATAAACCAACGAACTCCCTTAACACCTTAGCACAGATAATGAATCACATGAAGAACTTAATGGTACGCTAGAAGCTTCTTGCAAATTTCAGTTTTCCTCAAAAAGAAAGCAATATGATTCCAAATATCAGGATCTATACAGCAAAACTTCATCAGCCTGGTAACCCATTCTCTTCTCATTCTTATTTGTGAAGAGTGATTTCTGAGGTTGCATCCTGAACTGATATGCTAAAAGAGAAATAATTATGACTAAAAGTTTACTATTTGTCATAATTAGACACTACTACTTACTTAATACACTAAATTTTCCCAGAAGTAATTATTAGTCAAAGTAATAGGATTTTTTTCAAAATTACTGGAAAGGAAATATATTTCCGTTTTTGTCTTTTTAAACAAATGCCAGGTAGCAGTTTAAAAATCACTGGCTTTAGGGGAGCCTGGCTCAGTCAGCGGAGCATGAGACTCTTGATCTTGGAGTTGTAAGTTCAAACCCCATGCTGGATATGGAGATTACTTAAAAATGAAATCTTAAAAAAAAAAGAAAAAAATCACTAGCTTTAGAATTCCACTACAGTGTATTCCATTATGTCTAGATTTATGTAAATGACAACTTCATGATGAAATAGAAATAGAAACAATAACCTTAATTATCGTGGTAATCACAGCAAAAAGAAGTCCATATGCATTCAGGAAATACAACGCTAGGTGAGAGATGGCACTAAATGAAGGGGGAAACAGTTTACCACAATAAGGCACTTCTGTTAATAGAGTAATGGATCCATGTACAAACCTTAATTTTGAAATGAGTTCACCCAAAGGAACAGCTAACATCTATCCCACAGCTAAAATTTTTATTATTCTGTGTGTCCCTGGAAACTCTGATCCTGCCAATTATTACAATCTAACTAAATGACAATTTATAACAATAGTACTTCCCCCCAAAAACTGAAATTCATGGCGGGAGGGGAACAGGGAAGGATTCTAATTATCTGAGATAGGTCTTTTGTGATGGCTGGTTAGCTGCATCTTTTTAGCAATGACATTTCCAAGTTTTTTGTGAAAAAGGCAATTTTAAGAATGTGCTGATACCATGCTTTCAGAATCAAATCCCAGATAACAACGTTATGTGGCTTACTTTTTCCTGATTTTTTAATCATTGTGATGGTAATAAATTTGAATAAAGATGCCTGAGCACTTAAGAACAGAAGCTTCTGAAAACTTTCAGAGTTGATTTTTGTCAAAGGAAAGACTGAAGACCCCAAACATGTACTAGTTTAAGTTCATTTAGGGAGAAGGAGGGAGGAACTCATATTCTATGTCACACAACAGACTTAAACTGACCTAGCAGGGACAGGAGGAATCACCAACTCCAACAGAAGAGATGAGTCGGAAGAGAAATAAACCAACTTCCAAAAGGACAACCCAACAAAACATACTGCCAACTGGTTGATCTGTGTATCTCAATATATACAAAAGACAGCAAAGAAAAGGAAAAGCAGAAAACAACTTAAAATTTCTACACAGATTCAACACTTGATTATGAACATATAAGTTGCAAAAACGTCTTAGAAGTGATTCTGATACAAGATTTTGATTAGTTAAGTCTTATCAATTGAAAAGTCATCCGCTGGGATAAGTGATCTCAATAACATAGCCTCGGATAGAAAGTGTTTTCAAATATATTACCTCATTTAAAGTTACTTGCCCAGTCACGCTGCTACTTAAGCATTAAAGTCAAGGCCCAGCCCACCTCCTCTTGGTACTTCGAGTTGGGGGTTCTCTTCACTCCATTTGACTAACTAAAGTTGATTTAAAATGTAGTCGGTTTATCTGCTTTCTCTACCCTCCCTGCAGAATTGAGAGAATGTCTGAAAGATACAATTTCACAAGAATCTTGGCACTTAAACTATTTATTGTTGAGAGATGACGAATATGACTCCAAGCAAAAACAAAATTATCTCAACAGTCAAAAAAAAAGGGGGGATGGAAGGGCATCTCTTTCACCCAACTTCAATCAAAGTCTTCACAATTCTTTATGACCGTCCTGCCTAAACGTACATAAAGTGAAAACCGCAGACGAGGAATTTTTGCACTTGAGTGCTTTCTCAGGAGTAAACCAAATTCCCTGCCATTTTTTCCTGCCACGGACCACAAAAGTGCAGGGTTGGGGTGACTGGGCCAGAGACGTGGGGCCTCGGGGTCCCTGGCTGTCCCGGCCAGGCTGGTGGGGTGAGGACCCGAGGGACGGGGGCCACTCTGACAGCTGGCAAGGAGAAAGCGGGGGACGCAGCGGGGCACGAGCAAGGGGCAGCGGTGGGGGTAAGGAGGAAGCGAGCCGGGGGCGAGGGACCAGAGCGCTCTCCCGCAAGGGCAGGGGAGGCGAGAGGGCGAAAGGGCGACGGGGCGGGGCAGGGCGGGCGAGCCGGCGGAAGGGGCAGCGGACCGGGACGTGGGGCCCGCAGCGCCCGGGACGCGGTGCGGGCGAGGGGAGGGGCGTCCCCGAGCAGGACTGGCGGGCGAGGGGGACGAGGTTTCGGGGCGCGCCGGCCGCTCTCTCGCCTAGACTCGGACTGCAGGGGCGGGGTCCGACGGACCCCACACAGCGGCCGCGGCTGAGGGAAGGGCGCGCCAGGCACCTGCCGCCTCCACCGTCGCGGCCCCGGGCGGGCTCGGCTCTCACCTCTCCGGTTCATGGGCCGGATCCGCACGGCCACTTTCACTTTGGAGTCCCCCATCCTGCTGCCGCCGAGGCTCTCCCTCGGCTTCCGTCTGCCGCGGCCACCGGGCAACTCTTCGGGGCTGGCCGGGCGGGAGGGGGCTGCGGGAGGGAGGGGCGGGGCGGGGCTTGGGCAGGGAGGGGCAGGTCGCCGGGCTCCCGGCGCGTTCTCGCTGCATGACGGGACTTGTAGTCCTTGAAGGTGGTCGAGGGCAGGACAGTGGCGGAGGGGCTCGGGCGGGAGAAAGCAGGAGGGCTTCGCTGTTTGGAACGGGTGAATACCCCTCTGCTTCTACACCATCCTGCTCTCAGAGCTAGTACAGAAACCTAAGCCGTCGATAAGCTAATATCGCACCTGAAAACAGAGTTGAATAGATGGCATTGGAGACCCTGAGAGCGACCTCTTCAGACTCATTTCCTGCCAGCCTTTAAAGTACGATCCCTGGCTCAGTTTCCTCTGCCTGGGTTGCACTCCAGGACTTGTTTGCCGAAATCATCCTTCGAGACCAGGGAAAAGTTAATCTCTTCTGGAAATCTTCATATACGACCCCGCCGTCTGGGCCACTACCCAGTCAAGACCCTGGGCTCCTGAACCAATTCAAATCCCACGTCAGAACTTTCCAGCGGTGTGACTAGGAACAAGTGATTTGACCGCTTAAGACTTGTCTTTTCATAATTAAAATGGAAACACTTTACGCCTATTTCGTAGGATTGTTTCAAGACTTAAATGAGTTAATACATGTGAGGTTCTTAAAAACTCCCTGGCAGATAGAAAGTGCTCAATAAATGGAAGTCCTAATTATCTTCGCTTTGTTATAGCATTTATGCTGTCATTATTTGCCGTCCTATCATGTATTTTTTAAACCATATCTGGTATGTGGAGCCTAGCCTGCAGTAGAGACCCAGTAAATATTTATTGCATGAATGAATGAATGAATGAATGCACGCATGAAGCTGCCCTAAACTTAGCTCGTTATTCACCCAAACAGAGACTGCGAACTAGAGGCCTGTGGGCCAGATCTGGCTGGCAAATATGGTCCCTTTGGTGCAACAGTACTGGCCATGAAAAGGAGACTTGTCCATTCAATTCTGGGTCTACATTACCTATTAGGAATAATGGGTTGGAACTGGGTCGCAGTGGCCCCCTTCATAGGAGGCATGGTTTTCCCTTTTGCCATTGCACCCCTCCACTCTGCTTTACCACTCATGTGCCTGGATCCCATAGGTTTGTGATGCCTACTTGGATATGTTTAAATGACAATACAAAACTCAGGGCTATTTTACAGATGAGTCAATACAGAAAGCCAGTAAGACTTGCCCCTTTACCAACCATCCAGTTAGTTGAAATAGCTTAGAAACAAGTAGAATTGTCAAAAAGGTTAAAAGCGAGGTGCCTGGGTGGCTCTGTGGGTTGGGCCTCTGTCTTCGGCTAGGGTTGTGATCTCCCTCCCGGTGGTGGGATGGAGCACCGCACTGGGCTCTCTGCTGGGCGTGGAGCCTGCTTCCCCCTCTCTCTCTACGCCTTCCTCCCTGCCTACTTGCGATCTCTGTCTGTCAAATAAATAAAATCTTTAAAAAAAAAAAAAAAGGTTAAAAGCACCTTTAGGAGGAATGTCATTCTGATACCACACATAGATGAACATTGAAGATGTTGTGCTCATTGAAATAAGCCAGACACCACACACAAAAACACTGTACGGGTTCACATAGGTGAGATACATCGAATAATGAGATTCATAGGGACAGAAAGTTGTCAGGGATGAGGGAAGGAAAATGGGGAGTTTGTGTTTAATGGGTAGGGAGTTCCTGTTCGGGAAGATAAAAGAGTTCTAGAGATGGATAGTGGTGATGGTTGCACAATGTGAATGTACTTAATGCCACTGTACCCTTAAAAGTGGTTTAAATGGTAAATTTATGTTGTGTATATTTTGCCACAATTTTTTAAAAAGGTTAAAAATAGAAAAAGCTATGCCAGAATGCCTTCGTTAAAGGAAGGAATTGGGGCACATGGGTGGTTCAGTCAGTTAAGCAACTGACTCCTGAATTCAACTCAGGTCATGATCTCAGGGTCATGAGATCGAACCCCACCTTGTGCTCCATGCTCAGTGTGGAGCTGCTTCAGATTCTCTCTCCCTCCTCCTCTCCTTCACCACCCCCCGCTTGTGCTTGCTCTTTCTCTCTCAAATAATTTTTTTTAATTTTAATAAATATAAATAAAAGAAGGGAATTTATTTCATGGGGCACTTTCTCTGAGGTTTCAGAGGACTTTCCAGCTGCTGAAGCAGTGGATATCAATACAGTAAGTCTTTTAATTTTCACAGCCAAATAAAGAGAACCCATTTAAGATAGCCAGCTTTTTAATTTTACCAAGTAAATTTCTTAAAAACTAATGCAAATAATTGCTATCTACAGTCCCTATCATTCTTTTAAGAGAAGAAAAAGGTCACAAAGTATATATTTTTATATGGAAATTGTTTGACGAAGAACCCCACTACTGTCCTTTTGTTTTTGTTTAGCATTGAAAAAATTTTTATCATGTCCCCTTTATCAGAGTTGGGTACTCTAGTCTTTAACATACTTCTAATAACGATCTTACCACTTTCAGAATATAACAAATAAGGGTTTGCAATGTACCTAAGTTCTTGGACAGCCATTCTTCCCTTGATATCTCTTTTATGACCTGACAAATGTTGGTTTTAAAAGGCATGGTGTGATGATAGCTTGACTGTAGCTTTTTAAACAGAGACCAGACAGGCAGAAAAAGAGAAGGCTGCACAGTTTCTGTGGGAACATTGTGTTTAAATTTAAGCTCAAATTTCAGAGAGAAGAAAGCCCCTAAGGAGTTGAAGTGGGGGTAGGGGGAGAGAATAATAGGGAAGAGGTGAGGACTTTCTCTGAAGTTCCAAAATCATACAAATTGTCCTGGAAACATTCAACTGGAAGCAAATGATCATAGCTTCCCTAGAGACTGTAGAGAAAACCCCTCACGGGCCATTCTCCCTTCTGACTTCTATTCACACTAACTTCTCTCTTTCGACTTCTGCAATAAAGAAGAGGAGGGAGGATTCTTAGAAAAGAGAGCCTGAGACCAGAAATGTCTTTTTCTTCCCATGGAAAGTGTTCCTGAGCTAGGCCTGAGAGAAAGGACTGAGACGCAAGTTACAACCTGCCACCCAGGAGCTTGGGGGCTTTCACACCAGGTGAAACCGGAGCTGTCGCCACACAGGGAGTGTGGGCTCAAGCTCCAACAGGAGACAGGGAAAGTCACCGTTTCTCTCTTTCCAACTCTTCAGAGGAAGGAGAGGAAGAGAATTTAGTAAAGAAAGCACTTCCATGGACCTTTGTTTTGTAAAGCAAGTACTTAATGAATTAACAAATATTTAGGGTGCAGATACCACATTTCAAGGCGTTTTAATGGGTCTGTTTAACTTTGAATTTTAGCTGAGTCAGTAAGTTTCTCAATTTTCAAGCCCTGACATTTTGCAAGTCTACTCATTCTAAACCTGATTTCTAGTTGACTGTTTTATTGCTTTAATCCACTCATTCAACAGTTTCTGGTGGTCTGTACCTTGGCCGAAGAATTTTGCCTTGTCTTTGTAAGATCATCACTTACAAAATTATAATAGCTAACATACTTTGAATGCTCACAATGTGCCAAACACTGTCCTAAAAACTTTACACGAATTAATTCTCTTAACACTCATACTAACTCTATGAAGTACTTACTGTTATTATCCCTATGTTAGCATAGGGATATGCTAAGGACCCAAGAAATTTACTACAGGTGCCGCTGGGCTGCTCCTGTGTTCTGATCTCCCACTCCACAGTCTTTCATAATGGGAAGCACCATGGGAATTCACTCAGCCCATGGGAATTTGAAAAGATCCAATTTTCAGCATTCTGCTTTCCAGAATTGTTTCTAAAACTCCACTACTGTAAAAATGTGGGAACTGTGTACTAAGTTCTGTTGTTGCCTTTAAAAAGGAGGGAATGAAGGATGCCTGGGTGGCTCAGTTGGTTAAGAGGCTGCCTTCGGCTCAGGTCATGATCCCAGTGTCCTGGGATCCAGTCCCACATCGGGATCCCTGCTTGGCAGGGAGGCTGCTTCTCCCTCTGTATCTGCCTGCGCTCTCTCTCTCTCTCTCTCTCTCTAACAAATAAATAAATGAAATCTTTTAAAAAGAGGGAATGAACTAATGGCTACCTCGGGGCAGGAGATTTCTTTCCAGCATAAATCAGAATTGACCTGGACTCAGGTGAGGACTTACAGTCTCAGACTTAGCTTGGCGGGAACTTAGTTTTCCCAATTAGAACTATCCCTTCTGTCTCTCCAGCTATACTGTGAGCACAAGGATATCATCTTTTGCAAGTCTCTTTATCTCCAAGACCTAAGCCAATGCCTGGACCATAGTAGGCAAGCGTCTAACACATTTTGGGGGAATGAAGATAGTAGCATCACAATTCACCTCAGACAGATTAGATGACTTGCCTCAAGTCACTCTAGTAAGTGACAGGGTTGGAATGCAAACACAAATTTGTTTGATTCCAAAAATCTAGGTTGCTGTCACAAAGAAGCCATGCCCATGTGTCCTTTCCTGTATTGTTCATGTTAGTGTTACCTTTTCTACCACGTGAATCCTTAGTGCGGAGCCTCTGTCTCAATGACAGCAGTCATCGTGCCATACTTGTTATTTCTGAAGGGCTTCTGGGCCTGGCATTGTGCTCAGGACTCCCCCTGTGTGATCTCATTTACCTTTCACAACAGCCCTGTGAGGTTGAAGTCGGTGCTGTGATGCTAGCCTTTGACAGATGGGCAACTGAGACTTAATAAAGCAAATTAACTTGCACAGGGGCCCGAGCAAGAAGTGCCTGAATGCGAATCCTGGGTGTCCCCAACCACCGTGTGCCATTGCCTAGACTGCCACACCATGACCCCTCCCCTGCCCAGTCTCTCCACTAGCTATCTGGTGCTCTGCTGGGTCTGTCAGCGTTACCGACACTCCTCATCAACCACCCACTAATAAGACCACACCTGGATCTTGCCATGGTCTAAGATGGCTCCGCCTATGAAATCCCATACCTCCCATCCATAACCTCAACCTCATCCAACCTGATTCATTCTCTTAATCCTAAGGACCAAGTACACTGTTCTTGAGCCTCCAGTTCCTCAACTTATCCTTTTTCTCATACTCAAACTCTTTCAGGGGGTCACTTTCTCACAACCTTAGCCTAAACCTCCCTCTTGACTGTATCATCAACACCACTCATGACCTGTGAATCCCTAAACCTACAAAATCAATTTCCCCTATCTCATGCGCCCAGGAACCCAGCTGGGAAGTCACACAACCATACACAGCGGTGCCCTCACAAATCTGTGGTCTTTGATCTCAGTGTGGCCCTTAGCAGCACGTGAAACCCTTTCTCCTGCTCAGCCCCCTCACCTGTTTCTCCCGAGGCCTTTGCCATCTTCATCACTCTCTTCAAGCCCCCAACCCAACATGGCCACGCTCTAGGAGGGCCACTTTTGCCACAAAAAATCAAGGCTTTCAGGGGAAAATTCCCTAAATTTCCTATGCCCACAACGTCATCCATGACTGTATTAGCATCAAGTTTTCTCTTCCAGTTGCAGAGGTAGGTGTGCGCCTTCAGCTCAAGGCTAAGGCCTCTGTCCCATGATCTTGCATCCCACCTCCATGGCAAAGTTGTTCTGTTCGTGAATCCCTGTCTAACCAGATCAACTTTCCTTCTCCATGACCACTTCCCCTTAGCTGAGACTCTCCCATGTGAAAAACAAAACAAAAAAGTTAAGGAAAAGAAGCAAGGATAGCCTTCTATCAATCCTTCGTCTACCTGTAGTCACCAGTCTTTCTGCCTCCCAGCCAAGCTCCCCACAAATAATAATCTACACTCGGTGTTTTTCCTTCCTCACCTGTCATTAGTCAACCAACTATTAATTTAATCATGCTTTCACCCACACTCACCCCTCTAATAAAACTGTCATGGCAAAGCGTACTATCAACTTCCCGATTGCAAATCCAGTAGGCTGCCTTCAGTCCTCATTTGACTTGATTTCTCTGTGATATTTCATGTTATTCAACATCCTTCTTCTTGAAGCTTTTGATTCTCTCACTTTCTATGAAATCACTGTGTTCTCCTTGTTTTAGTTAAGTTGTTATCCTGGTCAACAAACTTCCAACCATGTGCTTGGCACTACTGTGTTAGGTGCCTGACATGCAAAGATAAGAAAGACATAGCACCTGTTCTTAAAAACCAAAAATTTTGCTTAGATTTCTGGAAAATTTGTAACTTCTTCAAGTTCTTTTATTGCCTCTTTGCTTGTTTCTTAGTGCTGTGTGGGAATCCCCTTTAAAGACAATGTCCTCTAGGGTGCCTGGGTGGCTCAGTGGGTTAAGCCTCTGTCTTCGGCTCGGGTCATGATCTCAGGGTCCTGAGAAAAAAGACAATGTCCTTTAAAGGGGACAGGTTCAGTATGCTGGGCCTGGGAGATCACTCAGAAGGCAAAGCTAAGAATACTCCAGGCAGTTCTAGGGGTTGGGAGAGGGGATGTGGCAGGAAGAGCCGGGAGATGGAACAGGCAGCTCAGAGGTGGAGAAAATGAGCACGAAAGAAAGAAGGTAAATGAAAGACACTCAGGTCTGCATCAAAGAGTACCGCAAAGACATAACTTGCAAAAAGTTTATATGGGGGGCGCCTGGGTGGCTCAGCAGGTTAAGCATCTGTCTTCAGCTCAGGTCATGATCCCAGGGTCCTTGGATTGAGCCCCACCTTGGGCTCCCTCTTCAACCGCTCCCTCCTTCTTTTTCTGCCTGCTGCTCACCCTGCTTTGCGTGCTCTCTCTCTCTCTGATAAATAAATAAATAAATAAATAAATAAGACATCCTCTGAAACGTAGTAGGTAGGGTGGCACCAGGTAAAGCCCTCTTTCCCTGAGATCTCATTTGAAATGAGAGAGGGTCTAGGATCCCAGAGAGCAAGCCACGTTGTAAACTTAATTATTTGGGTATTGGTTTCCTTTCTATTCTTTATTTGCATTTAGTAAACCTTTCTTAAACTTCTGTGTATCTGACCTATGCTAAGGGGAAACAAAAGAAGGGGCTTTTTGAAAGACCTTTAAAAGGGAAGAAGTCTACCTCTGAGGCCAATGTGGTAAGTGTGATGGGGATTGGGAAAAGACCACAAGAGTCAAATCAGAAGTATACAGATTTGAGATCATGGGGTCTGCTCTAGGAGAGTCCTATCTTCAGGCCCCCTCACAGCCGTGGGGTTTACTTTTTTATGGAAGGTGGTATTCCTCACCGCTCTCCTCACCGCTTACTGCTCTCTCCCCAGTTGGTACAGTCGCTATTATCCTGCATGCTTGCTTTGGTTTCTTTCACTCAATGATGCTCTCCCCCTGCCAGGTGACGCTAACCTATTTTTTCCTCCAAGTCATCTTTCACTAAATCCTACACACATTACTATTTCCCTTCTGGAAACTTTCTAGCACTATACTATATTAGCATCAGGTTACAAGCCAACGTCAATAATGGATAGAGGTCCTGTCTTCTCCAACAAGACAGAACTCAGGAGCAGGAACGATGTCTTCTCCTGGATATTGCTCAGAGCAAGGAGCATATAGCCAATGTGACAGATA